ACTCTGGAATACCTACAGGGTGTAGTTTAAAAAAAAAAAAAAGAGCAAGAACTCTGAGCCAGACTCCTTTAAAAATATTCTTTCAAAATAAGATAAATGGCTTTCTCTGGCATTAATACTAATAAAAACGTATTTTATCTCCTCTTACCACACAAACCTTACTTTCTCTAAATACATTATCAGTGAATTTTGCTCAGTGTACAAATATTTTATGTATTACAATGACTAGCAGAACGCAAAACTTGCAAATATTTATTTTTAGACATATGGGAAAAAAAGCAATTAGAGCTAAAAATGTGAAGAGTGAGGAGCCCACTTAGAGGCAATTACATTGGTCATGCAAACTGTTCTGCCATCAAACTTTTATTCAGACGCTGTGGTGCATATTAAGAAATATCACTTGCACATACAAAAAACAAAATATTATTTCACAATTGAAAATTTCCAATCACTATAAACAACATCTGGGGGTCATTAATAACTTACTCTGCAGCTGAATTAGCAAAATAATATGTGGCCTGAGTCAGAATTCCTACACGTCTATTTTTGAAGAAAAAAAGAGAGAAAAAAAAAAAAAAGAACTCTGAGCCAGAGAGTCAGGATCTGAATCTCAGTCTCGCCACTCCCTTGGGTTACGTTGAATCAGTTACTTAGCTTCTCCATTCCTCAGTTTCCCCTTCTGGTAAGGGGGATGTAATAGTACCTACCTCACAGGATTGTTGAGAGAGTTAAAGGAGATCGTTTATTTACTGCACTTAAAACAGTGCCAGCGCACAGTAAATGTTATGTAAGGGCTGCTAGTATTCTCCTTATTAAAAACCGCATGATAAGGCTGGGCCAACAGTATGGCCCATGTCTTTGCGAGCCTGTTGCACTTTAACTGCTGAGTCAAAATCTTGTTATTGGGGCCGGTCCAGTGGCGCACTGCGATAGTGCGACGCTTGGGAAGCGCGGTTCGGATCCCACATACAGACCGGTTCCCGCTCACTGGCTGAGCGAGGCGCGGGAGCAGCACCGAGGGTTGCGATCCCGTTGCCGGTCCCGGTCCGGGGCGGGGGCAACACTGAGGGTTGCAATCCGTTGCCGGACACGGAAAAAAAAAAAAAAAAAAAAAAAAAAAAAAAAAAAAAGGAGGTATAGGGAGAGGAGCCTGGCTGGTGCGATGGTGCCCCAAGGCCTTGTGTGCAGTGCAGATGTATGACCTGTCACACAAATACAAGCTTCCAGCCAGGGAGGACACGCTCAAGCCCCCGCAAACACACAAATGGACACAATCACGTGCGTACACTTATGTGCAGGTACACATTTGCACTCGTGCTTATAAGTGCTCAGTAGTACCCACACGCACAAGAGAATGGACCTGCCCAGAGAGCAGGGACACACCCACAAATGTACGCAAATGCACACTAGACCACTTCCCTGTGCAAGCTCTAGTGTTTTCAAACACACAAGTAACTGCATGTGCCCACCACATTTCTCAGGCCACACCCCCAAAGGAGAAGGGAACCCTTAGAAATGCACAGGGGTGTGCAATGGAGACAGAGGAGAAAGAGAGGATTAGTTGAGCCTCCTGGATGTCCTCAGAAGGTCCTCAGTAGCCTGAGCAGTGGCACATTCTACTCCCTTACCCTCCTCCCAAAATCTCTGGTGAAACTAGAATTCTTAAGAATCCCACGGATTCCCATCCCCTGGAGCCCAGGGAGATTCTAAGCCTTTTCCTCCTCCCTTAGGGCATGTAAAAGAGAAGGTGACTCAGGGAGTAGGGGCAGAGGTGGGTGGGGTGACTCATTCAGCATGTCTGGAAGGGGGAATGTGGTCTGGTGAGAAAAAGAGATGGCTTCTCAACCCCCTAAAGTCCAAACCTGGGCCATGAGGCCCCCGGGGTGAGGATGGTGACAGGGCTGGTGAGCCACTGCCCCAGCTTGCCTCCTGGAGACCTCTGAGCTGCCAGGTAAGACGGAGGCGTTTGCAAGGGCCCTGCTGGCTCAGGGTCATTCAAGGTCAGGCCCCAAGGGCTTCTCTGCTTATGTGATCAACTGTGTCCTAACTCCTGCCTCCAGGGTCTCTCCCAGTGCCCTGAGTGTCGCTGCAAGTCACCTGGGGCAGCCAAACGGTGCTGGGAATTTGGGGGAAGGAGCCCCTTCATGGTTTGGCATCCCAACATACAAGAAATCAGGCTGCGTCAAAATCTCCCTGGGCAAGGGCTGGAGAGAAAGAGCCTGTGGAACCAGCTTGGCTTTCTGCCCATTATTCTGGTCTTACCCAGAGGGTCCAGGCACTTTCCAGGGTGTCAAGGGGCTTCATTTTGCCCTTACTGCAACAGTAACCGTAACTTGGACAATCACGGTCAGAGGTGACTTCAAATGAAGGGGCCTGGCTCTCCTTGGAGCAACCTGAGAGATCACAGGTACACTGGAGGAGTCAAAGGAGTTTTCATTCCTTGGTCCTGTGTATGGGTGGGGAAGGAAGAAGAGAAGAGAGCTGGAGGAGACAGGCAAGCAGAGGTGAGCAGGCACACCAGCCCGCCACCATCACCTCCATTGTCTGGAAGTTAGGGCTGCAGAGGGGCAGGAAGCAAAGCCAGGCAGGAGAAACTAACACAGAGAGGATAGTCTGGGACTGCCCTTGACGGCAGTGGTGTGGGGTCGCAGGGAGTCAGGGTGGAGGCAGGCCAGGCTCAGCAGAGGTAGTGTACGTGTGTGCGTGAGTGAAAGAGAGAGAAAGCACTTCCTCCAGGGGTGGACAATGGGTCTTGAGCATCAGTCACACCCAGGGGGAAGGCCTGATGTGACCCTGACGCGTGGCCTTGTCAAGCTCTGGGGCCCTCTCAGCCATCCCCAGGCCTGGCCCAGCTCCTCACCAGCCTCACATCATCCTGGTGGAGAGCTTGCTCCAGAGCCCTTGTTTGAAGTTCCAACTCAGCCAGCCAGCCCCACCCTAGCATGAAATCTGAGACTGGGGATAAAGCCCTCAGCTTTTCGCTGTTCCGAAAATCACTCCCATTTCCAACTAGAAGGGAAAGATAACAGAATGTCTTCCTACCCGTTCTGTAAGGCCCTACTCCAGCCCCATCTTCTCCATGAGGTCCCCACAAACCTTCCCAGCCTGCTGTGATTACTTCTGCCACCACCAACACCACCACCTGCGCTGCAGATGGGCACTGGGCTCCATGAGCCCTTAGCGCCCCACTCTCTAGTGTGGCACTTAGCACATCTTTTGTGCGCCTGGGGCCTTTACTGGACTGTAGGCTCCTTGAGGGCAGGGGCCCTTCCTGCACTTTTCTGTACTTCCCACAACCTCAAGCTCAGGGTCTGGCATACTGGGCATTCAGTAAACGCAAATAGGATGAATGGATACATGACTCAAGGATGGGGTCAGGGGGACACTACTTTTTCCTGAAAACCAAGCCCATATCCCCTTAGAAAAAAAAGTGAAGTGAGAGTCTGAGACACAGAAAATGGGGTAGGCAGCCAACATTTATTTAATGCTTACTGTGTCTTAAGTGCTAACTGGTGTTTTATATATATTCTCACATTAAGTCATCACCACCAACTCTACGGAGAGGATTATCAATTCCATTTTGCAAGTGAGAAAGCCGAGGTTCAGATGAGATAGTTAACATTGTCAAGGTGGCATAGCTAATGAGTTGCGGGTGCAGGTTGATAGCTAGGTCTGCTGCCTCCAGCCCATGCTCTGTGCACTCTACCTTGTGCTCACCCCAAGCACCGAGCAAGAAAAATGACAGCAATGGTGTACCCTCAGCCCAGCAGGTGTGGGGGAGGAGGCCTGAGGGATTTGCCCTGTCCTCCTCCAGCTGGAAGGGTCTCCCATTCCTGCCTGTGATCCATCCACCCAAAGAGGGGTGTGAGGGCAAGGAGAGTCCCTGAATGGGGTCCCCAGGGCCAAGACTAGAGTGACCTACCCCCCAGTCCCTTGCCCAACACAGAGACAGCCTGGTTCTAGAAACCGTGCCACTGCCCTGGCTCCAGATATTTGGTGACAAGCTGAAGTCAGAGGCAGGAAGTCGAGGAAAAGTTCTGATATCTTGTCCCGTGTGTGTCCCAGGCAGCCTGCTCAGTTGCAAACGGCCCGAGTGCCTGACCATCTGTTCACTCTAGGGGCAGGACTGTTCTGGGCCCAGCAGGAGTGAAGGGGTTACACAGGGTCTTCGTGGACAAAGCATACACACACGTACACACAAACATACACTCCAGGACCCTGACCTTGGTCAATTAGCCTCTGGTGTCTGTGGGGCAAGAGAGCCCATATGTTACATCTCAGTTCTCTTTGTGTTTCCCCATCTTTCCACCCTGATTTGGCCTTGGCAGGGGCCTGCTGGCACATGAGGCAAAGGTAAATCCCCCTCCCGGGCTGGCTTCTCTAACTTTGACAGCTGTTTCCCAACTCCCAGAAAGCTGCCACTGCCGGTTAGGACCATGGGATTCCCAGGGAGCACGATCTCAGGGGATCCCTTGAAACACTTTCTTCTTGCACTTGGGCTGGGGTGGGGGCCTGGGAGGGCTGTGCCTTGGAGATGCAGGCCTCTGGACACCAGGCTAGACAGATGTGCAGCCTCAGTGCAGCCCAGAAAACACCAATGTGCTGGAGCAGGAGAGATGGGGCAGAAGGGAAGAGAAAACACACACACACACACACACACACACACACACGCACACTCACACACACGCACAAGAGAGATGGGGCAGAAGAGAGAAAACACACACCACACACAGACACAGACAGACAGACAGACAGACAGACACACACACGCACACACGCACACACACACGCACACTCACACACACGCACAAGAGAGATGGGGCAGAAGGGAAGAGAAAACACACACACAGACACAGACAGACAGACAGACACACACACGCACACACGCACACACACACGGACACTCACACACACGCACAAGAGAGATGGGGCAGAAGGGAAGAGAAAACACACACACAGACACAGACAGACAGACAGACACACGCACACTCACACACACACACACGCACACTCACACACACACACACACGGAAGTTTGGCCCGAAAAGCTGCCCGCAGAAGGAAAAGCCTCCTTGCCCGCTAGTTCCTCTCGGGACGCACGGAGATTTCCCTAGGAACCCTCCGGGAAGCCAGAGGCAGCGGCGGCAGCTTCCACCAACAGCAGCAAAACTTCAGTCCTCAAAGTCCCCAAACTTCCCCCTCCCTCTCTCGCTCGTTCTTTTGTTCCCCACTGCATTGCCAACCAGGCAGCTCCCGGCTTCCCACACTGGACCGTCCTCCCCCCACGCGAACCCCGAGCAGCCCGCGCCTCCCCGCCCGCCGGGGGCGCTCACCCGCCTTGCAGGGGTCTTTGTAGTTGGGGGGCTCCCAGTCGTCCTCGTCGCCCAGCTCGTAGGTGTAGTCGGCCAAGTCCAGCGGCCGGCCGGGGCGCGGGAGCAGCAGCAGGCAGAGCAGCAGCTCGTATAACTTC